TCTACATCATTCTGAGGTTTAGAGAAAAGTTCATAACTCCATCAGGACTCATGCTGGATAAAATAAAATGAGTTTTACTTGCCCCATTCCACCTTTTATAAGGAGGGGTCCAGAAATGCTTCTCTAACGAACTGCAACAATTCAATGGTGTTCCAGCAACAGCAGGATCACATGTATGGTCAAAAAAGTATTTTATACTAGGGACGCTTTAGAAAGAAACTGGAGTTTGGAATGGATGATTTGAATGCCTATTTGTGTTTTATCACTACAGCCTTCCCCTTTCAGCAACAAAATGTACATCTGTCATGTTTACAGTGTTAGTGACTTGACAACGTACACATACCACACATGTAACATAAGACATTCATTTCCAGTGAGCTGTACATGGAGTCATGTGCTGTTCTTTCATTGTTGTCATTTTGTGATTCCATGCTTAAAATGGACAATTACATATTCCCTTCTGTCTTCTTCAGCAAGAGTAGAGCCTGAATATTAGGCAAAACGCCTCCTTGGGTAATTTTATGACTGCTCAACTAAATTGATACTTAAAAATATGCAGCCATTAGACAAAAACAGGAATTACTCCTCCAAGTAAACTCTGGCCCCATAAAAGCGCAATTTTCGTCAAATATTAACATACAACTGAGTGGTAGTCTGCTTTTGATGTTTGAGTGGAGCGGTTAGTGGTTACGGAGTGGTTGGTGTCTGGTAAATTGGCTGGTTGATGTTTTTTTCATCACCTCTGCTTGTAGAATTGGCTAGTGAGTTGGAGTGGAATAACCTTAGCTTAGAGTAAGTGGTGGGGAAGAGTGCAAGGTCCTATTGGAATTGAATCTTAAAAGACAGTACAAAAAAAACTGTAACCAGGAAGGACTAGACATGTGTGGCGCTGCCATGCGGTGGCCAGCTAGCTTTAGTGCAGGATGGTGTGTATTCAGGGGTTTAGCTAAATTAAGAAAGCCATGGCGCTGGTGGGGCCACTCAGTGTGAGGCGCGTTATCGTTCGGTGCTAGCTTCTTTCGACTAGCACCAAGAAATGCTAATTGCTAACAATTCAAACGAAGCAAAGTAGAAAAACTTAATCTGTATTCTGTTGGTACTGGGCTGTTTAAAACATCGGCGTCATGTTAGCTTATCAACTGCAATTCATGATGATTTAGAACCTGCATTTTATTCTATCTAAAAATCCAATCGAATTGAAAATTGCTTAGAAAACCTGTTTACGCTGCACAAATTGTGTGACACTGACCATGAGTGGCGGGTGGAGGCTTGAGTCCAAGCTCTGCTGACTGCCTTCGACGAAAGCTCCTCAGTTGAATTTCGACCACGTGACGTCTCAAAAGAAATACGATCCCTGTTTTTCTTTATTGCTAGAGGGGTGGGACTAAGTTCCTTATACTGCGGCCACTTCTGGCCTATTGTACCAGCCCCGGATGATAGGTGCGGGTGATTGTGGAGCAATTGGTGGAATGAAGATCGGCAGGGGAAGCCGAAGTACTCAGAGAAAACCTGCCCCAGCGCCGAGGAAAATTTGGTGATTCGTGGTGAGATTCGTGGATTCATCGAGTTTCGATTGATTCGTCGAGTTCATAGGGATTGNTTGGAAGCAAAAGGAACAACTTTACCTAAACCCGGTAAAGACCCAAAATTCCCTCAAAATTTACGACCGATCAGCCTCCTGTCCACGACAGGAAAACTATTCGAAAAAGTAATTTTGAAATTCCTCCGTAAACATATTGAAGAAAGAGGCCTGCTCAACCCAAGCCAGTTTGGTTTTCGTGCACGTCACAGTACTAAGCTTTGATACCACGTGGCACTCAGGCTTGATGTATAAGCTATCAAAATTGGAGTTATTGAACTGTTTGACCAAGCTTATTGGGTCCTTTCTTTCCCAGCGTACATTCAGGGTCTCGGCTGAAGGCAAAATGTCAACGCCAAGGGAAATCCAAGCAGGGGTGCCACAAGGTACTGTCCTTTCCCCTGCTCTTTTCAATTTGTACATAAATGATGCCCACCAAACTCATGGTGTTCACCTGGCCCTCTTTGCGTGCGACATATGTCTATATGCGAATGACCGCAAGGAGGGTTTTATTGTTAGAAAACTCCAGCGCGGTCTAAGCTCAATGGAGACCTGGTGTGAGCGTTGGAATATTAAAATTAATTTTGATAAGACTCGGGGGGGGGGCTCTTCTTCTCCCGTAGTCGTCGAACGCCTGAGTCTTGTCCCACTCTAAATGGACGAAACATACCATTTGTACATAGTGTAAAATATCTAGGTGTAATCTTCGATAAGAGAGTTACATGGAGATTTCACATAGAATGATCGAAGCCAAGGCCTTCAGAACATTTATTGGAGTATATTCCCAATTCAAAACAGCGATTGCGCGCTAACATTAAACTAACCCTCCATAAAGCTCTTATTCGACCCGTAATGACTTATGCTAGTCCCGCCTGGGAGTTTGCGGCAGACACCCATTTAGTGAAACTGCAGGGCCTACAAAACAACGATCTCCGCACGATTGGCAATTTTCCAAGGCGCACACCGGTCCGCGATTTGCACATGACATTCAAAATCCCGTACATATATGACTTTATAACAAAATTATGCAGGCAACAAGCAGAAGTCATACAAAATCATGATAATGAGAATGTTCGCAACATCGGACAAGGCGAAGCCCGCCACAGAATGTATAGGAGGCTTTAAACTTGGCGGCGATCAGTCATACGACCGTTCAAGTGACTAGACTGCCGTGATAGCTAATAATACTAGGAAAAGAAGAAGAAGAAGAAGAAGAAGAAGAAGAAGAAGAAAAGGGAATAATCTGCAGTACCTAGCCTGGAATAACAGAGGCCTTGTATATATTGTACATTGAAGTAAGGAGTAAGTGTGTATATGTAAATGTATGTAAATACAGACAGTGGACTTATTAATACAGACTGACTGACAAATAACAGACCCGACCTCTCGGCTGAGAGGGTGCTCCACATAGACAAGACAGTAACTTTCTTTCAAAAGAGATATCTGGTCATGAGCCCCAGCTGGGGCTCGACACCAAGACAGATAGACTGACTGACCGTCAGTTGCAACATGACTCTCAAGAAATGGAGAATAAAGATAAATGAAAGCAAGTCTGTTCATATTACCTTTACATTAAGGAAAACGAAACCAACAGTCGTCCATATAAATAACACCGTTATTCCTAGCAAAGAAGAAGTTAAATACCTCGGAATGCATCTAGACTGCAAAATGACGTGGAAATGCCACATAACAAAAAAACGTAAACAAATAGATTTACTGACCAAGCAGATGTCCTGGCTTATAGGCAGAAGATCAAAACTATACCTCGAAAACAAAATCCTTATATACAAAACAGTAATTATACCAATTTGGACTTACGGCATTGAACTCTGGGGATGTGCCAGTGAGTCCAACATCAACATTATCCAAAGGTCACAATCGAAAATCCTAAGGATGTTAGTCGACGCACCTTGGTATGTGTCAAATGAAACCCTACATCAAGACTTGAAATTAAAATTCGTGAAAGAAATCATCCTGGACAGAAGCCGCCAACACATGAGCAAAATCGAAACCCACAAGAACGAACTATTGCAACCACTCAGGGAGCCAATCAACAATAGATGATTAAAAAAGAAATGGCCAAATGACCTGATATAAAACAAATCAACTTCTGAAGAGGTAATGTCGATGGACATTTTCCTCTCATGACATGTAATAGTCCTTAGCGAAACCATTAACCTATAGAATGTACGTAATTCTGATTGTTAATAAATAAGTTACTCATCCGAAAAAAAAAGAAATAGGTGTTCAAAGAAACTGTCATACCAGAGTGGTACAGATAAAGAACACTATCTGGACACAACTCGATAATAATGAGTGGCTGTAATTTGCACCTATTGTAGAAAAAAACAGTGGTCTGTAATGACAGGGATTCCTTAAATTTCATTATAACAGGTGTAGGTAAAATAGCACTTAGTGAACTATTAAGGGGTACAGGTGTAAACTCTAGAAACCTAGCGTAATAATATAAGCAAAAGCCTTAAAACAGGAAGCTAAAATATCCAGGGTAAACTTAATTAGGACTATTAAAAAGAATTTGGGAATTATTTTTCTGGAATAGCTCACCAAACGCCACAGTCATATATATCCTCTACTGTGGTACGCAAATGTCAACTTCACACTGCGGCTCAAAATTGTTGGTAGTGATGACTGCACACGTTCAAACGCAATATACCTAAAATTATAATGCATGTACTCCCTAGATTCTGAGACAGAGTACAAGAAATATGAAGAAATGAACTGTATACGCACGACGAATATCTGTCCCCAGCGAGGCGGGCGTGTGCATGGCCTATATAGTTGAATATTAATGACTGTACTGGAATATGACCGACGCTGTAAAGTGAGGGGGACGGTTAAGCACTGAAAACACAGCATTTTTCTGTAACAGGTGCGGTTGTGGATTTTAAGGAGCTTGGATGAGATTGGGAGCAATTAATACACGAAAGCCGATGTCGCTTAGTATGTTCCGTGCAGTGGAACATTTACTTACCTTTCCAGGCTCACTCGTCAGTCATAGGAAGTGAGAAATTTGTGTGAGTCTAGGGAATGGATGGGGCTAAATGTCTCAGCTGGGGAAAAAATATGTGGAGAGCCCTGTTGCCCTAGGATACGTTGAAATCCCGGGTGGTCACACTGCGGCTGCTAAGGTAGGGTTCGATTCGGAGTGCTCTGTAGCAGGTATGAAGCCTGCTCAGGCAGATGTGAGTGTTAAGGAGCATTCCTCAGATATCAATTAACATCACGGAGGTACAGTAATTCGTAAACTTCTGAAGAGGGCACAGAAAGAAATTAGCATTCTGAGTAAGGAAGCACGTGAATGTCTCATTGCCTCACGAGCACCATGCTCGTTCTCTACGCGGTCCGTTCTGCTGCATAGTGAGGCAGATGTAGCACGGGGAGTGAAATCATTTCTCGTAATTCGTGCTTGAAGTTTGAGTATGGCGGACAGTGCAGAATCTGCCCCAGCGGCAGCAAATCCTTCGCAGGCTACACCCAAGAAGGCGAAGGCTTCTGTGAAAAAACCACGCACCAAACCAGTGCATCCTCCTACATCAGAGATGGTAGGAAATGCTATTAGGAGTTTAAAAGAACGAGGTGGGTCGTCATTGCAGGCGATAAAAAAGTACATTGCGGCCAACTACAAGGTTGATTCCGAGAAGTTGTCTCCGTTCATCAAGAAGTATTTGAAAACTGCTGTTGCTTCTGGCGAATTGGTGCAGACTAAAGGCAAGGGCGCATCTGGGTCGTTCAGGCTCGCAGCCGCTAAGCCAGAGAGGTCTGCAGTTACCGATGCGCCGGCGCGCGGAAGTAACCGTTCCGCGGGACCCAAGGAGAAGAAAAAGTCCGTGAAGTCCAAACAGAAGGCTCCGAAAAAGGCGTCTGTGAAGAAGGTGCCCGAGAAGAAAAAGGCGTCCCCTGCCAAAGGCAAGAAATTGCCATCCAAGGCGAAGAAGGTTGCTAAGGTGCCAACTAAGAAACCCAAGGCTCCGCGACCAAGGACTGCAGCTAAGTCAAAGGCCCCGAAAAAATCCAGTCCGAAGAAGAAGTGAGGATGATAAATGGGAAGGTGGCTGCTACCGAGGCAAATTAGATGAAAACCGGCCCTTTTCAGGGCCAACAATTATGTCAAAGGAGTGTTTGTATGTTTGTTCCCTCACGAATTCTGTTAACTAAATTCAGGGTTGCTTGAATTTGCAAATGCAGCTGGCTGGGCCCACAAGAGCGCACAAAATGAAATAAACCAATGGATCCCAACATACGAGGCACGCGCGCACTTCTTAACTGAAGTCATAGCGTGCTTTCATTTTCGAGGAACGCATTTATGCTAGAACGAACGTGGAGCCTTGCTGACAGTCGTCACAGCTTTTCTGTACCCTCGAATGGCGGCGGCCGTCGTCCCGTCACCTGTATCCGGATTTCCCGTTTTGTTGTTTAAGGATATTGAAACGTTGGTAAGTGTGCAGAGCAGAAATTCTGCCGACAATCAGCCAGCGCGGTTACCCCTGACATCGAGCCCAGTTGGGACCCATGTCCATATTTCTGTTTTGAGTGTACACCTTTTTTTTCCCTTTTCGTTTGTCCTTAATGATAAAAGGAGTGGTTGGTATCTTTTTGTAATTTAATTGTTGTTCACTTGCTACGCCTTATTGATGTATATATGTCATATATATATATATAGACATTTTTTTACACCCTTCACAATATAATTGATATTAAATTTTAATTCTAATATGTACAGGGACATCTGTCAGTGTAGGAATGTGCAGCAGCCTATGCATTAATCTATTTAAGAATCCAAAACAGCAGTTAGACACCTGCCTGTATTCGACAGATCGCAAGGAGGGTTTTATTTTTAGAAAACTCCAGAGCGGTCTCAACTCAATGGAGACCTGTAGTGAGTGCTGGAATATAAAAAGTAATGAAGAAAAGACTCGGGTCAACTTCTCCGGTGGTCGTCGACCGCCTGAGTCTCCTCTTACTCAAAATGGAAAAAATATTCCATTTGTAGATAGTGCAAAATATCTAAGTGTAATCTTCGATAAGAGCGTTACATGGAGATTGCACATAGAAAAGATCGTAGCCAAGGCCTTCAGAACATTAATTAGAGTGTATTCCCAATTCAAAACAGCGATTGCGCGCTAACATTAAACTGACCCTCCACAAAGCTCTTATTAGATCCGTAATGACTTATGCTAGTCCCGCCCGGGAGTTTGCGGCAGACACCCATCCAGTGAAATTGCAGCGCCTGCAAAACAAAGTTCTCCGCACCATTGGCAATTTCCAAGGCGTACACCGGTCCGCGATTTGCACATGGCATTCAAAATCCCATACGCATATGATTACATAACAAAATTATGCAGGCAAAAAGCAGAAGTCATACAAAATCATGATAATGAGAATGTTCGCAACATCGGACAAGGCGAAGCCCGACACAGAGAGTATAAGAGGCNCTTGCGGCGGTCAGGTTTCGCCCGTTCAAGTGACTAGACTGCCGTCGTAGAGAATAATTCTCGAAATATGGTGTATCTGCTGTAATGAGCCTGGACTGACAGAGGCCTGTATATATTGTACATAGAAGTAAGGAATAAGTGTGTATTGTAAATCTATGTAAATACAGACAGTGGACTTATTAATACAGACTGACTGACAAACGATGACCCGACCTCTCGTTAGGGAGGGCGCCCCACACAGACAAGACAGTAACGTTCATCAAAAGAAATATCTGGTCATGAGCACCAGCTGGGGCTCGACACCAAGATAGATAGACTACCTGACCGTCAGTTGTAACATGACTTTGACTTTGACTCTTTTAAATAAGTGTGATTTGTAAATTTATGTAAATACAGACAGTGGACATATTAATACAGACTGACTGATAAATGACAGACCCGACCTATCGTCAGAGGGCGCCCCACATAGTCAAGAGATTAACTTTCATTCAAAAGAAATATCTGGTCATGAGTCCCAGCTGGGGCTCGACACCAAGACAGACAGACTGACCGTCAGTTGTAACATGACTTTGACCTTGACTTGCTCTACTGAGCCTAGACTGACATAGGCCTGTATATTAAACATTAAGATTCAACTGTAAATACAGGGTTTGTTCGGAAAGTAATTCAATTTGTTTTTTCCTCCCGGTCCTCCTGGTTGGTTTCAGACCATCTGGGAAAGAGTGGGGGCTCTTAGCTTCACAACGCTCCCAACTCAGTCTGCTCTGAGCTCTAGGATCGTCAGGATCCCTGTGTCCGTGAATCTCCTGTTAGTGCCTGTGTCACGACGGGCTATGGAGAAAACCATCGAACAACGCTACGCGATCAAGTTCTGTGCTAAACTGAACAAAAGTCTCGCCGACACCCATCAAATGATTCAGGAAGCCTACGGGGACTCTGCTCTCTCCTATTCTCAAGTCTCCAGGTGGTTGAAGTTGTTTAAAAATGGTCGGGAAAAGGTGAATGATAACCCCCGGTCTGGACGGCCGTCAACCCACAAATGTGACAGAAGTGTGTCTCGTGTTTGTGATCTTTTAAATACCGATCGTCGAATGAGTTTTCGGATGATAGCAGAGACTCTCAGTATTCCGAAGACCACTGTGCACAACATCGTTACCGAGAATTTTTGCACATGCGGAAAAGGACTGCAGCTAAACCCAAGACTCCGAAAGAAAACAGTTCAAAGACGAAGTGAGGATGAAAAATGGAAAGGTGGCTGCTGCTAAGGAATATTAGATGAAAACCGGCCCTTTTCGGGGCCAACAATTATACCAAAGGAGTGTGTTCGTTCGCGAATGTTGATACTTAATTAAGGGTCGCTTCAGTTGGCAAATGCTGCTTTAGCTTTCGTGGCATTTTCCGGAATGTACAACAGTGATATACCTGTATGTGTTTCATTATCTAATTCCGATAGAATGGGGTGTCGTAAATTTCTGTAACAAATATTTGTTGTTAACAAGCGAATACAAACCAGCAGGTAGGCAGTGTATTGTAACCGGTGAGGTAAAGGAGCCCCTTGTCTGAGGCTGGGGGAAGATCGTGTCGCAACGGGTTACATTGTGCTAGATCTGCGGCCTATTGTAGCTTGTCCCTGGTGATCGTGATGCTGAATTTTGCGGAAGGAAGACTGACGGGGAAAATCCGAAGTACTCGGAGAAAACCCGACCCCGCGCCACTTTGTCCACCACAAAGCCCAATTTACCAAATCCGGGATCGATCCCGGGCCGCCGCGGTGGGAAGCCAGGGACTAACTGCTTGAGATATGCCGCGGCCCATCGCTGACCAATTCTCCGGAGTCGTTAAACGACTCATTAGGAGCAGCTGTGTCCACCCTAACCCTGTGAGTGAAGGTGGGAGGCGGTTACACGTTCAAATTGACATATTTGTAGTTAAAATGAAGCTGCCAATGAATAGGCACTGAGTTTTGTTATTTTCAATTTTCTAAAAAATATCATTTGTGGACAGCATTTACATCAATATTTATTCTAAAATAACATGATGATATGAGGGGTTGGCCTTCTCCGGCGTTGTATCGCGACCCACAGTGGTCACTATTCGACTAAGGTTATAAATTTTATCCTATTTACCCTTTGGCTAGGGTTACCAGGTCAGAATTCAAGACAGTACCAATCAGAGTACCTCTATGATATTTTAGGTTTTAAAAATGAGGACGAAACGAGGACATACTAGAAAATTTCAATACAGTTTTGTTACATAAAGATTCAAGGGAATTAACGCAACACCTTGCTAAATAATGGCCAAATAGAATAAATTGTTATACGTGGACGCAAAATGACATTCTGGGTAAATCACCCGAAATAAACCATAAAAATTGTATTATACAATTTATTTTCACAGCAATAATAATATGAAATTAAATTGTCACCCATCGCTTTATTGACAATGCCTAAAAAATTTGCGTCTATAACAACATATTGATGTAAATAGGTATAAATGGGTCAATTCCTAATACGGAAACATACAGAACACTCGCAATGTACGTTAACACACCTCCAGGAAGTGACAGGTGATGTGATAATCAGATTTAGCAGTGTATTTACCGTTAGTGCTACTTATTTTTTCCTTGGCACTACAGCCCCAGTGGGCTGTAGTGAAATCCGTTCACTTCGGTCTTTCTAGATCTTATTCATATGGTAGGGCTCCTTAGGCGAGTGATCAGCTCGTCCCAAGGCCTCTACCTGTAGACAAACACAGAAAAACGCACACAAACATCTATGCCCTAAGTGGGTTTTGAACCCACGATCCCGCTTTCCATGGAGCGAAGACAGTGCATGCCTTAAGGTGGGGATACACGAGCGCGCCACGGTTGCAACGCAGCATTACAAGTGATGCGCCGAGTGATTTGGTGCACCTCGAACAAGCGAAGCGTACGCAACGAACCTACTGAATGGGGCGCCCAAGCCGCGAGCACCTCTGTTCCATTCTGTCTTCCCCGTCCACACGACCATGGAAGACGAGGAAGCTTTCTTTTTGTAATATTCTTTTTCTCTGGGATTCCACAGTACAGTGAATGATTTGTATGCCACTATGTGCCCCAAAATATCTTCTTCTGACCACTCCGTGTTTTTAGACGTGCGCGCTTCACGAGACAAATGGCAACCGAACCCGACCACACTGCGGCAACGAATCACTTTGTGTTCATCAGAAAAACCGACAGCAACCGGATCTCTGAGCGGTATTTGAGACGTGCGCTGCGCGTGTTCAAACACACAAACACACGAGTGAATAAGTCGTGAAACCCGTTCGATCTATATTGCATTACAGCAGCGGCGCGCTCATGTATACCCACCTTTAGGCAAGGCGGCTACCGTGACGGGCGTTAGTGCCAGTAGTCATTACAATTTTTCACCATTTATTACCCGTGTTTAATTTACAATTTCAATCTGCCACATGCAAGTAGTGTCGAAAATATAGTTTTTTAAGTAAATAATTTTACTGTACGTGGAGTGAGCAATGTAAATGAAAAAGCAAAACAAAATATGGACATATAAATAAAGTGTATCAAACTTTGGGAGTCCCTCTTTATCGGTACTTGGATCTGCCAGATTTGAGATTGTTATTTAAGCACAATGGAGTGTGTCCCTTCTACGTAAGATAACACA